CTGATAAATGTGGCTCTCAAAATAAGTTGTTACTTAATATTACACCTGGAAGGTGTAATGTCAAAAATACTAATGTGTCCACATCAGAGCTCTTTCAGGAGCCTGAGGGCATGTCAAATATGACTCTTCCTGACCACAGACTTTCATTTTCTCAGAGACACCAGCTCACTCTGGACAATCAGTAAATGATTTATCTTTGCAGTCTGCTTGTCACAGCAGATGATCAGTAAATATTCAAATTCAGAGAAAAGTTCCCACCTTCTTGGTAAAATGAATAAATAGTCATTACACCAAGGTGGATCATTGAAAGTTACTACACATTTCCACTTTTTGAACTTCATTTGAAGATTTGAGGCAAAGTCTCTTGTGGAAAGAGAAAAAAAATTATATCAAAAACACAAGTATTCTAAGCTTTCTGACTCTACTTTTTCTCCTTGCAAAGGCTGGTTTGCAAATGAATTCTTTCTGGGCCACGTTATTTTTCTTTTACTCATCAGATAGTGATCACCTTCAGAAGTTTTGTTAAAACATGGAGTACCCGGCGTGGTAGTGCGCACCTGTAGTTCCAGCTACTTGGAAGGCTGAGGTGGAAGGGTCGCCAGAACCCAGCAGGTCGAGGTTGCAGTGGCTGGGAACAGCCACTGCACTCCAGTCTGGGTGACAGAGTGAGACTCCAACTCAAAAAAAAAAAGCAACAGCAACAAAAAACCATGGAGTAGACCAGACACGATGTCTCATCCCTGTAATCCCAGCAATTTAGGAGGTAGAGGTGAGAGGATTGCCTGAGCCTAGGGATTTGAGACCAGCCCGGGCAACAAGGCAAGACCTTGTCTCTTACAATAAATAAAAAATTATCTGGGCATGGGGGTGCATAGTAGGTCCAGCTGCTTGGAAGGCTGAGACAGATGGATCACCTGAACCAGCAGGTCAAGGCTGCGGTGGCCATGAGCATGGCACTACACTCTAGCCTGGGCAACAGAGTGAGACTCCAACTAAGAAAAATAGAGGTTAAAGGAAGTGCAACCTCTTAAGTGTGGGTACCTATGCCTGACGTGAGGTATTCTTCAGATGAATAAGAAATCTCTGCAGGGGCCTCTTGAATAGCAGGTGATAGGGCAGGGCCATCAGGACCTTCCAAATAGCTGGAACTACAGGTGTGCACCACTATGCCAAGATCATTTTTTATTTATTGTAAGAGATGAGGTCTAACCATGTTGCTCAGGTTGGTTTTGAATCCCTGGACTCAGGCAATCCTCTCACCTCCACCTCCCAAAGTGCTGGGATTACAGGCATAAGCCATCATGCCTGGCCTACCTCCATGTTTGATCAAGACTTCTGAAGGTGATCATTGCCTGGTAAGTCAAAGAAAAATAACCTGGCACCAGGCAGAGCCCCAACAAGTCCTGGCCAAGGGGGATCATCCTCCTTTTAACAACAAAGTCCTTCACTTCCTTTTGGAGTAAAGGATACCTGCCATGGTTCTAAGTGTACAATAGATACAGGAGCCCTTTTCTGCTTCCTGTCCTGTTCCTAAATCAGGTTTGCTCTTGGCAACTGAAGCTCTAGCAGTATGATGTAAAGAAAGATGTTACAAGTCTTTCAGACAGCAAATAACACACACACACACACACACACCCCAATAGCCAAAAGAATCCTCAGCAAAAGGGATAAAGTAGGAGATATCACACTTTTTTCTGGCTTTAAATTTTATTACAAGGCTACAGTAACCAAAACAGTCTGGTACTGGTACAAGACTAAGCACACAGACCAATGGAATATGACAGAGATTCTGGAAGCAAAAACACAGTACCTCAATCATCTTATCTTAGACAAAGTCACCTATAACAACCACTGGGGAAAGGAGACCATATTTAGCAAATGGTACTGGGAAAACTGGCTGACCACATGCAGAAGAATGAAATTGGACCCCTACCTATAACCATATACAAAAATAACTCTAAATGGATCAAAGACCTAAACATGAAACCTCAAACTATAAGAATCCTAAAAGAAAATGTAGAAAACACCCTTAAGCACATAGAAGTAGGCAACAAATCCTTGACCAAGTCCCCAAAAGGGAATGCTGTAAAAGCTAGGATAGACAAGTGGGACCTCATCAAGCTGAAAAATTTTTGCACAGCAAAATAAAACATCCAGAAAGAGAGTAAAGAGCCAACTCACAGAATGGGAAAAAAATATTTGCAAATTATTCATCCAACAAAGGCCTAACATCCAGGATATACAAGGAACTCAAATGAAGTGAAAGAAGAAGAAGAAGAAAAAAACAACAACCACAAAAGACCATTAAAAAGTGGGCAAAAGGCATGAACAGACACTTCTAAAAAAAAGACATACAAGCATTCAATAGACACAAGAAAAAGTGCTCAGCCTCACTAATTATCAGAGAAATGCAAATCAAAACTACAATGAGATACCACTTAATCCAGTAAGGATGGCTATCATTAATAAGTCAAAAACAACAGGTGCTGGCATAGGTGTAGAGAAGGAACATTTCTATACTGTTGGTGGGAGTGCTACCTCTATGGAAAGGAGTGTGGCAATTCATAAAGAACTAAAAATTGACCTTCCATATGATCCAGTAATCCCGCTCCTGGAGGAACCTGGAACCTGGAGGAACATAAATGATTCTACAAAAAAGATACCTGCACACACATTTATTGCTGCATTATTCACAATGACAAAAACAGGGAACCAACCCTACTGCCCATCAAAAGTGGACTGGATAAAGAAAATTTGCTACAAATACACGATGGAGTATTACCCAGCCATAAAGGAGAACAAAACCATGGACTTCACAGCAAATTGGATGGAGTTGGAGACCATCATACTAAGTGATCTATCACAGAAACAAATAACTGAATACCACATTCTCACTCATACATGGGATCCTGAACAATAGTCACATTAGCACAAGGGAGAGATTGGCAGTTGTTGGGCTTTGCAAGGGGAGGGAGGGAGAAGGGTGAGGGGGTACATGACAACACAAAAGGTACCTGGTCCACTACCAGGGGAGTGAGGACAGTTAGAAGCCCAAACTTCACCTGCATGTAGCCTACTTACATAGTTGATCCTCACTTGTACCCCACTCTCTGAAATAAAATAAAATTTAAAAGATAAAAATAAATAAATAAAAATAAAATATTGAGCCCATTTCATCTGCTTCTTCCTATAATCTTCCCCTGCTCCTTTTTTAAATTGGGGTAGGTTTTCTATCTTGTGACACTGTCCCATCCTTTTCTTGACCCCAAAAGGCATACATATCCTCATTATCTTCTTTACCTTGCGAAGTGCCATCTACCCTCAGGTCTCTGTACTTGCTATTCCCTCTGCCTAGAACACTCTTCCCCGGATCGGTGCCTGGATATCATCCAAGCCTCAGCTAAGACAACACCTCCTCTGAGAGACCCCTTGGTGTGCTTAGAAGACACAACCCATCATCAGTTAATCTATAATTGCATTTTGCTGTTGTTGATTTTTGCAGCAAATAATACTTTCCAGTAGCTCTGGTTTATTTGTATAAGCTTGTTTGTTGTCTTTCTCGTAACAAAGTAATGTCCACAAAGGCAAGAATTTAGTCTATCTTGTTCAGTATAGTGTATAGCCCAGGGTCCAGTTCATAGGAGAAGCTCAATGGATATGTGCTCAACAATGGATGGACGCATGGATGAAAACTGCCATTTCTTCATAATTATCTTATGCCAGACCATGGTTTAGAAGCTTTACATAGAGTGCCCATTATTATTACAAAAATTCCCCATAGTATCATTTATACCCGTTTCACATACACAAAAAAGGAAGTGGTAGGACATAGGGACTCAGCCTGTAATCCCAGCTATTTGGGAGGCCATGGCAAGAGGATTGCCTGAGTGTGGGGGATTAGAGATCAGACTGGGAACTTGGTGAGACCTCGTCTCTACAATAAATCACAAAAATTATCCAGGCATGGTAGCATGCGTCTGTAGTTTCAGCTACTTGGAAGGCTGAGGCGGAAGGATCGTCTAAGCCCAGCAGGTTGAGGCTGCAGTGGCTGTCAGTGTGCCACTGCACTCCAGCCTGGGTGACAAGAGTGAAACTTCGACTCAAAAAAAAAAAGAAAGAAAGAAAGAAAGGAAACTCAACAAGACCTGCGTTGTAACTTGTCAAAGATGTGTCATAACTAGATGCTGCCTCCAGGATGCAAACCCACATCTGCATGACCTCAAAATGATCATCACCCACTGTCCAGCACTGCTTGCCCTAAGTAACCAGTTCCTTCAATTCACAGTTCCTCCAATTCACAGAATCTTTTGAATCACTTCAAGGATAACCCTAAAATGTCAACAAAGAACTAAACAAAACTTAAATCATGGATTTTTAACAAAGTAAAATTGTTATTTGAATTAACTTAGTGAGGTAATTATTGTAAGAAAAATACAATGCTCTTTGGAGGTTTGATATTAATAAGTTTCCCCCAAAATACGAAACATCTTTTCTGAAAGGGGAATTTCTATGGGTGAGGAAGATCTGCCTTCCAGAGGAAGGTTCAAGTATTGCACCTAGCCCAAATAACTGATAAGAGGATAGACAGCCTATGAGACAATCTTCACTTTGAAAAATCAGGAGAAGGAGGGAAGAAGATGAAGAGGAACAAGAGGAAAAAGAGGAGAAAAAGAAGGGAAGAAGGAATAAAAGATCACATTAATAATTTGGAAAACACTATCCTATCCGTTTTTCCTAAGGCCATGTGTCAGTAGTGCAGAATCCAAATTGTCATGGGTCCAAAAATTACTGCCTTCTTTATTTTTACAAAAGCTCACAGATTGGTGGGTTCCCATTACTGTGTACTACTGTTTCCTGGTCTCATGCCAGAGTGACTGAACTCTCATTCTTGGGAGAGATTTAGATGCCTCCCTGGGAATAATTAGAGCAGTGCTCAGTTCCAGAGTGACTTCCTTGATCCCTGCCACACCCCACTGAACACCAACAATAGCTGCCTCACCATGAAGCTGCTGATGGTCCTCATGCTGGCTGCCCTCCCCCTTCTCTGCTACACAGGTAAGCCCATGCAGGGAGGGCTGCCTCTGGGCTACAATTGTTGCCTGGGTCCCTGTGGAAGAACTCCTAGCCCCCCTAATCCCCAGGACAAAGGAGCTGGTTGTAAAAGATCTTAGGATCTTCATTTATTCCAGAAAAATCAAACACGATATCCCCCTAAAGGCACTGCACTGCATTGGGGCTGCATGCAGTATCTCACTGCATTCAAGGTATCCCACTATAGTCACAGCAACCATAAAAACATAAGGAGTCTCAGTATTGAATACTGGAAATTGCTATTTCAGTGGGTCCAGGGGGAGATATGAATGGAGACCCTGTGGCATCTGTATCCAGAAACCATAAAACAATCATGATTCTCCATGAATTTGGAAGGAAATGGGACCCCTCCCAGGAGAGAAGGCTCAGGCTGTGTTACCCAGTGTCTCTCACCCTTGGGGCTCAATCTGTATTTGTAGAGTTGACCTGAACCTTCTGGAATGCCCTTTAGCTCCCAGCTCCTTCATGCTCAAGGCTGACTGGGAGGACCACTCACACCCCCTGGAGTCTCTTTGTAGTAATGATGATCCAGTGAGAGAAAAAAAGCCCTGACAGAATTTGGTCACTACTAACAGGCTGCGTGGCATGCTTTGTCTAACTCACAAAGCTTATTTTAATGTCCTACATCATTGTTTCCAAAGAAGGTGCAAACGCTGACAGTAAGAAGGTGACACACAGTCAACTCCATAGAAAGTGGCAGAACTGAGAACACAATCAGCTCACAGGAATCCATATCCTGAACTCCTCCCCTTTTCCATGGGGTGGAGTGGGGAGCTTCTCAGATCAGTTCATGAATAGAAAGTTCTATTTAGATTCATTGTTACTACAGTTACAAGTCCACAGAGCTAATGGACAGTGTTCTAGACCCAATTCATCTAAAATACTTGGAAGTCCTACCTGATATCCTGAATAATAATAGGGAAGCAATAGGAAGTGTGACTTGCCAAGAAAGAACAAATCATGTTTAATATGTTTCACCAAGTCAGAGCATGTCACTTCACGCATGTCCTCCTTAACCATGGATATTTAGGGTTTGGCATCTCTGGCCTTGGGAGGTAGGGGAGGAATTTGCAGACTTTGAGTTAATGCTGTCAGGATGAAAACTCTAGTCCATGAATCATCGTCTTTCTGAACCTCTGTCCTCACTGGGATGTAAGAAGGTGATCAACCTCACAGGTCATCCCTTAAAATAGGTTCACTTCTCTGCTAATGAGCTCATTTTCTTATGCTTCATTCTCAGGTTCTGGCTGCCAGCTTATGGATGAAGTAGTTGAAAAGACAATCGATTCAAAAGTCTCTATATCTGTTTATAAAGAACTTCTTAAAGAGTATATAAACAGCAGAACCATGTCAGATGCTGTAGGGGAACTTAAACAATATTTCCTCAACCAGTCAGATGAGACTCTGAAGAATTTCAGAGTAATGATGGTAATTTTGTTTTCTTCTTATGTGCCTTTAAAATCAGTGACCAGAGCAGGTAGGTTCTAAAATGTGGCAGCAAGAATACTAAGCAAGTGGTAAACCAGCCTTCTTTATGTACCAGTGACTTCATTTAGTCCCTAGGCTGCTTCTCCACTTCCCTTTGAGAATCATCAGTGATAAATGGAGAAGGCAAAGAGAGAACAGAAAGCTCCAAAAATGGCTGATTTACCACTCAGCTCCTCAGTCCATTCTCATTTACACAAAGAAACATAGCCACACAAATGTAGACACACACAAACACCTAGATACACATAGGAACACACAGGGATAGATGCCCACAAACTTTCTATCAAGAGTATATATTTGATTCTCAAGGAACCATGATTAAGCAGCTCATGAAAATGTAAAGCACAGAACAGCATGGGTGCTGGAAGTGTTTAAAACAAAAGTCAATTGTTGTGACAATGAGAATCTCTGTTTATTTGTAAACATATATTGTCTACAGGGGTTTTTTTTCACTTTTTTTAATATTCCCAAATTACTTTTAAATATTCCATGGTAGAAAATTTAGAGATATACCAAATAGAATCATTTTCCCTTTAAGTCCCAGATTAATCATTCCTGGTGCAGAGCTCCAATATTTTGTAGTCCAGGAGGAAAATGGTGGACAGTCTCAAACTGTTTCAATATTTCTACATTTTAAGGCCATACAACAACTAAAAACCACCACATTCTTGTATTGGAGCTGAGATTTTAACTATTCTGTGTTAAAAAAGTGGTATCAGAAACAGTTCAAATCCAGGTCTTTATCAAATAAGATATGCAACATATTTATTCAATCAGTTATTTCAGAGAACAGAATTTTTGGAGAAAGACGTATTAAAGAAGTTCCTTATAAGACAAAAAATGTAAAACACTGACCCCTGTGTAGCATCAATAAATGTCTCCTAGACTAGATGACAGGAAAAAATGAAGAATTCTGATTTTGCGTCTAGTACTAATTTTCCTGGAAGTTAGGTGTTTGTGGACAAATGCAGGAAACAACCAGAAGAAAAATGTCTGAATTTCAGTATTTAACTTGGCAAGCAAGAGTGGAAAACCTAAGATTAGTATCTGTTTTTGTTTTCTAGGAAACAATGTATGACAGCATTTAGTGCCATATAGTTTAACTTTCCACAAGACCTTTTTCTCAGATGATGACAGACTATGGCCAGAACCTGATTGCTGATTGCTAGAAATAATTCTGCGTTCTTATTTTGTTTTTATGTGAAAACTGCAAGACAACTGTTGAGCCCTCAGATACATTTTGGTTTCAATAAACTAACTGAAAATCACTGAAGGTTCTTTTTCATCTCTCAACCAAAAGTAAGACTCTCCAGGGCCTCACAGTCAGGCTGCCTGTGAGTGACAGACACAAAGGTACCGAAGGAGGTGGATGAAGAACTAAGGACTCTCCTAAGCACTTTCTTCCTCAGCCTGTTTCCCAAACTTCGTTCTTCTCTGTGAAAGAATATCCCTCCCTGCATTCCATAACCTCCCTCAGTACCCTCTGATGGCCTCAGGCTCTTGGGTCCTGCATTGAGTTATGGACATGCTCTGCTTCCACTCCTGGTGGCCACAAGATCTTGCTGTGGCAGAGAGGGGCTAAAAAGAATTAAAATTATCCCTTAAAAAAAAATCAACCTGCAAGTTCCAAACCTGCTAGACATGGGATGTGAGAAAACCAAGCCACTTTCCTGGAAATGCAAGGTAGTAATCAATTCACAACCTCCTCCCCGCATTCTTTCTTTGCGGAAGTTATCAGTTTACAACCCTTGTTTGTCATGTATACCCTGGAGACAACTTGTTCTTTAAGAATTTGGTTTTGCTAGATACCACCTTGCAAATTCCAAAGAAAAATGTATAGCTATACAACCCAATCCCCCTCCCTTACCTAAACTCACACATAAAACCCCCTAATCTCTCTCTGAGTTGCTCAGCCTTGGAGCATTAGCCCACTGATTCGTGCTGGCACTAATAAACCACTACTTCCTAAGACAGCCTCGGTGTCATGGTCTCTTTGTTTTCCCATAACACCACCAGTGAGGTGAGGCCTGCAGAGCTGAGTGGATCTTTTCTGGATTTTAAATTTTGACATTTGTTCATCATGGATTTTGGCATTAATTTTGACCTTTCAAAATACGGCATTAATATATTACTGATTTTGACTACTGCATTTTCTAGTACCCTGTTATATTGCGCGATTTTCCCTAGTCCTGTCCCTGCAAGTGGGAAGGGAGTCCTGCCTCTGCTTCCCCACATGAAGCTGCAAAGGCAACTGAAAGGAGGTACCGGTCTGGTGTGGGGGTACAAGCCTGTAATCCCAGTACATTGGAAGGCTGAGGCAAGAGTATTGCCTAAGCCCAGGAACTCAAGACCAGTCTGGGAATCTTGATGAGACCTCATCTCTACAATATATCAAAAAATTAGCTGGACGTGGTAGTGCATGCCTGTAGTTCTGGCTACTTGGAAGGCTGAGGCAGGAGTACCAGCTGAGCCCAGCAGGTCAACTCTGGGGTGACTGTGAGCATACCACTGCACTCCAGCCTGGATGACAGAGTGAGATTCTGACTTTAAAAAAAAAAGAAAGAAAGAAAGAAAGGAAGGAAGTACTTATAGAAACCTAGAATAAACTTAGGTTAGGGGAGTTTTTTTTGCCTCAGCATAATCATTTTTGCTTAAGACTTCACCCTGACACGTTTTGAATCTAGCACAAGTTACACATAGATAAGATAAATTTCCATTGGGCAGGTTTTTAGGAGGTGTTCAGACATTCTACTACTGGCCAAGCAGCAGCCTACCCCACCCCTCTGGAAAATCTCCATCAGATGCAAGACAAGGACAAAGTCATAGAAATGATAATAAGAAAACCTTTTGGTCAAGGGGTTTGTGGATTACAAAGGCCTGACAAATCTCTTGCAGGAAAACCCCCTCCCCTGGTCTCCTCCCATCTAGCCCACCACCTGAGGGCATAAGATGCTAATGTCTGGGGACATCAAGATCTAAGACTCATGTGGTTACAATCAACATCAAAGACCTGCAGCCCCAGACATTCCTCCAAGCCTAAGCCCCCTTACCCCAAAGGCCCTTAAATGCCACACTTGGCCCTGAGTGTCGGCCCCCTTTCCAATCTGTGAAAGTTGAATAACAAACTTTACTTCTTTCTACTTTCTTTCCTGTTGCAATCTTGCATTATTCCCATGGCACTGGCACCAGCCAACCCACTCTCCGTGGACCCTCTCAGCAATGAAGATTGAGGGAACATGTGTGGTGTGTGGGAATCCTGCACAGCAAGGCATTTGTTCATTGAACATGAGATCTCCTTCATATCCTAGACCCCAGTTTTCCTGTCACCAGGGGTAGGTTATTGCTGCCTCTTGTTAAATTAAATTTAGCCCAAAGTTGCCCCCTTGCATGTCTTGGATCCAACCTAGAAGATTCTCTGTAACCTTTCACATGGTGAACTGTAACCTGGCTGGATATGTAAACAGACTATCTGCAAAAGTTAATGCATGATGTCTTAGGCCTTGTAAACTCCCTTTACTCTATGGCAAGTTTGATCAATGCTCCTGCTGGGCCCTACTGATAAAAGCTATGAGATTCCTCTGATATCTGACACCAGGAAGTCTGGACCGAAAAATATCATATCAATAAATACGGCTGAAACTCAAGTTCTATACAATGCTCCCCTGGTCATGTGGCTAATTGCCGGAGTTCAGCTCCAGTGGGTCAGGGTTTCTTGAAAGAGGGACGGTATCAGTGCAGGAGAAAAAACTTGGACACTGACTCTGCTGCAAGTAGGACAAATGCTGATTTATTGTCTTTTTCAACTCCTTTTATACCCTAGATTTTGGCTTGAGGCAAAAACATGTTCTTCATTTTCAAGGCAATCAGTTTCAATTTAATGGCCTGGGCAGGCAATGTATTTTTGTCCATCCTGTTTTGATCTTTGTTTCAACACTAATGGGGTTCTGTCTATCTTTTTCTTTGAAACATAATGACATCCTGTTTACCTTTTAAAACTACAATATTAAACATGGTATTTTCAATCCTGAGTGTTATCTCCAAATGTTATCTATCTTAAAAAGATGTAAATTTTGTACACTCCTAACATTTTTTAATGATTACTATTTCTCAATGTCCATACAAAAACTTACTTATCTCTACAACCATTACATTATAAATCACTACCAAGTTTTAAGCACTATAACTGTTACATTGATTTGTAAGTTACACTTGTGACCTTCACACAACAATTTGCAATTAACGGGGTAAAGCAACATTCTCAAGGTTTCTTAGCCGCAAGTTGACCTGACTAGCATTCTATAATGTCACACCTGGTGTTTACAATCTGCGTCAATTATCCCCTGCCAGGGAGAATGGTCTTCAATGTTTGTAAAACAAAAGACCTCCCTGGCTCAAGTCACCTTAGTCACAATCCCTAACCAAAATTACAAGCCTCCTTAACAAAGGGAAGTAAGGCCAAGGGTGCCCTAATGAAGCGTATACTTTTAACAAAACAAATCCTTCTTTTATTAAACACTACTATTTGGTAAAAATTATTTCTTCCATATAGAGCTCTTTACATCTTCCAACTTCTAGGTTTCCAGTGGCAAGATCAAGAGTGGAGGTAGAAGAAGCAGGAACAACAGCTGCCCAGTGTTGCCCTGCAACCTGGTGTCTTCGGCCTCCCGGACCCTGTCCACAAGAAGGCCTCTAAGGCTGGCTCCCAGCAGCTAATGTAAAGGTACTAACAACTCTGGACTTATAAAAGTGAACTGTAAAAGCCTGGAGGGTGAGCAGAACCATTTTAGAAAGACCTCGAGTCTGGCTCTGCTCCCTGGATTCAAACTCAGAAATAAACTTTTTTCTACCAGCTCCCTGCCCCTTTGATTTATTGGTATCAAGGGGAGCAACCAAGCGCTACTCAGATCATAACAATAATACTTTTAGAAATCCATGAAAATATTATAACTTTAAAAATTATAACAAAATGTGACTATAATAATGATGATGGATATAAAGGAAATAAGAATATTTTACCCCAAAATATATTTACTTGACATATTTTGAATCTGCTGCCACAGGGCCAACAGACAGAAATGATTTTGTGAAGCTGTCTCTCATGGGGGAAATTTGCATCTGTAAAGAATCTCCATTAATGTAGCCAAGCCTTCCCTTTCTAGCCCTTTTCTGGATCTAGGAGAGATTAATTGCTTCTGACGCTTTTAAAAAAGAGACATTTATCATCTACTCCTTGAGGACTGCTACCTGTGAGGCACCACCTACATAATAAGGCCATCTTTGTTAGCCTGGTCTCTTTTCTCCTTCTGGTAGCCTGTCTTGCCATTAAACCTGATTTATCAATACAACCCACCCTGGGTTATGTTCTGAGTCCTTATTCTTTCTGAAACCTCAAGATGGCATTTAAGCTTCTGTGCCTCATTGGGAGGTGATGCCTTCACCCTGAAGGTTCCCATGTATACACACTGAATAAATTTGTTTTACTGATTGGCAATTAGTAGCAAGAATTAGACTTTGTCTTAAGGAATTTTGAAATCAGAGCACCAAATACTCCATGGACTCACTTATAAGTGAGAGCTATATAATGGGTACACATGGACATACAAAATTTCTAAATTTGAGATTTGTGCTTTTAACATATTATCATTAGGATAGATAGTGCCATTCATTTTCTCATTTTATTCATGTGTTTTCCTCCAAATAATTGACAGACAAGTTGAGTCAATCTTATTGAAAGGACATAACATGGAGTCAATATACCCAATAAGAGCCATTTTAGCATTGTTTAGCTTTGTCATGTTTTTCTAGCAGTTCACCTTAATTTACCCCCAATCACAAGTGAAGGACAGAACCAGTTTCTCAGGAGTAGCTACTGATAATCATTTTCCAACTCCTCCCTACCTTGTTTTGTACTAATTAGCTTTTTTTTTTCAAGTATTTGCCTCCACCCATAAGACCCAAGTTAACTTAATCAGCCCTTCGTGACCTTCATGACACAACACTGAATCACAGAAATAACACCCTGGCAGATCTGATCTAACATTTTGAAGGGCCCACTGGGATTTTAACCTAACACTGATGTAGTTTATGT